TGATATACTAACATACGCCTGTGCTTGCTCGGCAGTGTCGAACTGGTTCCAGAGAAGTCTGTTGTGGAACGTGTAAAAGCTAGTGACATCTCAAGCACTACAGGTAAATGAGCATTTTGACCTGAACTAAAACATGAGTTCATGAAGTTGCATAATTAAATACTATAAAGAAAAGTGACTGATGTTTACCTCTTTGAAAGTTTAATTTAGAGATGTTTTGTCTTCTCAAATGCTTCGTTTATGTCAGTGTATACAGAAGTCTGAAGTACTCATGATATTTCCCTCTGCTTCAGCTCTGACACCTCCAGCCACTCCTCCTCATCAAATGTGGAAACCCCTGGCAGCTGTGGCCCTGCTTGGGAAGAGCAAAGCCTCCGAAGCCTCCAAGTCGAGCCCCTCCAAAGTTATCCAGATAGAAGCTCGGCCTCTGCCCTCAGTCATGCCACGTAGCAAACCCACGCTCGCTGCTGCCACTGTAGCCCCCGATTTGGCGTGCATGGATCATGACTATTGCCTTCCCAACAAAGGCACTCCCACTGCAGAGCCAGGCAAGCGTTGGAATATTAAACAGCAGTCTTTTATCACCATTAAACCCATCAGGCAACATACTCCAACCACTACACAAACAACCCCAGCTGCCCTGGCATCATCTCTCCAATCTACCATGAATCAGGCGGTTTTAACCAAAACACAAGTTTGTCCAGTGAAGCCCCTGGAGCCCAAGGCAAATAGGTTGGACGAAAGCTCTGTTATGGAGACTCCAGATGCTTCTCCTACTCGGCCGGAGACTGAATTGAAGGAAAGGAGCCCGAGGAGAGGTCCGTTGGGAAGGTCGTACCGTCGCCATGCTGCTTCTCGCACACCCAGCCCCAGATGTAGTCCTGAAGAGAGGACCAGAGGCCGGTCTAGAAAAAGATCACATCATTCTCCCAGTCCAATGTCCAGCTGTTCAGAGTCAGACTCCGATTCTTCTAGATCTCGGTCTAGATCACACTCTCCAACAAAGAAAAGGTTTGTCCCTTTGCAAAAAGTGTTTGATTCAGATGCATTAAACCTCTTCACTGATGGGTAATGATTTCTCTTTTCCTTCTTTTTGATTTTTAGGTATCGTCACCAGAGCAGTTCCAGCTCCTCATCCCGTTCCTCCTATCGGCCTTCTGTGTCCCGCTCTCCTCCCAGAAGGAGAAGGTATTCCTATTCATCTTCTCGTTCTGGCTCTTGGAGTCGCTCCAGATCACGATCTCGGTCCCCTCAAAGACGGGATCAGTGGAGTAAAGGCAGACGTTTGTACAGGTACAGTACTGTGACTTCTCTTGGTAGCTGTTTCATTTGTGCCCTACATATACTTTGAGAAACCTTGAAATGACGAGTAAAGGCTTCAACTTTTCTTCTTCAGTCCCTCATATCGGCCCAGCTATGGTCATGCTCCAAAGCCAAATGCGGAAGAGGTGAAGAGACGCAAGGAGAAAGCCATTGTAAGTTAATTATTCTAGGTATAATTAAGTGAAATGATTCCAGTAGTTATGATGTAAAACTGATGGACTCTCTTCCAGGAGGAGCGCCGCGTTGTTTACGTTGGTAAAATCCGGGGAACGATGACCCAAAAAGAACTAAAAGAGCGCTTCTCCTATTTTGGCGAGATTGAAGAATGTACCCTGCACTTTAGAGACCATGGGTAAGTAAGCTCCTCGTATTATACATGCAAACATCTTACGTCACCACTTTTTCTTAGCATAGAGCTTTTGGGAAGGTTTTATAAATGAGAAAGCTGCACTGTCTTTGAACCTTCTTGGTCTTGTCTATGACCTCTTAGGCCAAGCTACAGTGCTAAAGCAAATTCAGGCTTGTTCATAACTGGAGCTTCCTGGCATCACCACCAGGTGGCTCTTTTAAAAGCAAGTTACATCTTGAAGCTATGTGCGAGTCCTGTTGCTGCCCTCTCTGCTCAAACTAAAAATGAGGAGGAGTTAAACTTTTGGTCATCTGCCACAGGGACAACTACGGCTTTGTGACTTATTACAACACCAGGGATGCTTTCACAGCGATTGAGAATGGAAGTAAACTGCGCAAGCCTGACGAGTTGCCGTTTGATCTCTGTTTCGGTGGAAGGAGACAGTTCTGCCAGAGCAACTATGCCGACTTAGGTATGCTTTTAAATTTCCAGATGCAAAAAAAGTTTCTGCGTAACTCTTTGATTTTTTTCCTCTTCTTATTTTTAATGCAATTCCGTCTCTATAATCATTTCAGATTCGAGTCGAGAGTACGAGCCAACGCCTGCAAAAGGCAAGTATCATGCACTAGACTTCGACACTTTACTGAGGCAGGCCCAGCAGAATCAGAAGAGGTAACAGGAGGCCTGCAGCAGGACGCAGCAGATATTTACCTCAGAGCTGACGATGGCTCCTCACCTGCAACACTGTTTACAGTTTAGCTGTTGCATTAGGGATTTGTTTTTTGTTCTTTTTGTAATGTTGTTTCTGCAAGCTAACACCTTCTATTGAAGTGAAGATTTATAATGAAAAAAGCAAAAGGAGGCAAAAAAATTGAATAAATACAACAATAATTTTTTAAAAAGTTTATTTAAATGTACAATTGAACTTGAATTTTATGGAGAGGGAATTGTTTTTAAAAGGGTGGAATAAGTAGAATGGCGCTCCCTAATTATTGGGAGGAAGATGTATTACATTGTAATGTATTACAGACCTCAATAAAAGAAAAATAAAACAAAAATAAAAACAGTTTTCTTCCTTTTTTTTTTTCTCACTGTTTTCAATTTAATTTTAATTTATAATTTGTCTGTGATGTAATTGTTAATTTCATGGAATATGTGATGGTTCAGACTTGGTGCTTTGGTTTCAGGGTCCGAGTGAATTCATTACTTCAAGGTTTGTAATTCTGAAGAAGAAAAGAGTTGAGTACTATAGCAGTGGCTCATTTCTGCTAAGCGTCCCAGTGGGCTGGTATACTAAATGAAAGAACCCCAGAACTGTTCAGCTAAATGTGCTTATTAATGTCATTGGTTAAACTTGAGATTTAACCAGCATTTCCTGCTGTGGTAATCATTGTGTTTTGTAAAAAGGTGAAATTCTCTCCCTGTCATAGCTTTCTGCACAACCCCAATGAAAAAGAGCCATGTTTAATATTAGGTGTCACACTGCCACAAGCCTGTTGCATGGATTTTTGTCATATTTTTAATGTGTGTGTTGCAAAGTTTTCCATTCAGTTACATTTTTAGGTCACTTTATACCATAAGTTAAAGATCTTACTGTATTGGGGAGAGAACCCAAACAATTTAATGAGTCTGCACTGTCACGAAGTGCTGTGACAGTGCATCACAGCAAGGGCTACAGCATACTAAGCCTATGGCACCCTAACCTGATCCAGCCCAAACTATAAGCTTTATCAAAAACAAAGGTTTGAAGCCACATTTAAAGGATACAGAGGGTGTCTGCCTCCTAAATCTGAACTGAGAGCTGATTCCACTGGAGCGGGGCATGATAGCTAAATATGAAAACTTGTTTCCACCACTGAAACAAAACGTAATACTTTGAACCCGATCCATAATTCCAAATTTCAACTAACTTACTTCAAATATCAAGTTATTTTCACAGAGAACGGAGTAAGTCAAACTAATGCGATAACCTGAAATCTTGACTACGGATGGAAATTTTTCTTCAGTGGTGGAAATGAGCTTCCATAGCTGAACGCTGTGCCTCCTGTTCTACTTTTAGAAACTCCAGGAACCACATGTAGGCCTGCAGCCTGAGAGCAAAGTGCTTTATTAGGATAATATCGCACTAAGGTCTTCAAAATATGCATTTAACTACTGCAGAGACTCCACCCATCCTACATCCACCTGTTTGACCACTGCCCTCAGGGAGATGCTACAGGTCCAGCCAAACCAGGACTAACACACTCTGGAACAGTTTTTTTCCACAAGCCATCAGCTGTACTGAACACACACATCAGCACCTCTCACACATAAACACCACCACCACACAAGACAAGTGCAATACCTCAAAGCAACCTTGCACATCTGTATAAAGCGTTAATATGTGTATAGTTGGCATTTTTAGATTTGTTTATTGTTAGCTACTTATTTGTTTTATTGCTATTTATTATAAATGCTGATAGGAGAGTGTTGCTTCTAATTTAACATAGGGATCTTGATTTGACAGCTATCCACTATTTTAATCATTTGTTATATTCCTTTTGATACTCTTTTTCTATTCTTTATGCAATTCTTTCATTAACTTTTCTTGGCTAGCATCAAAGACTGTGTAAAAAAAACCTGTACAAATCTATTCAGGGCCATTGAATTTATTTTTTGTCCTGACTAGTTGACCTAATCTTTGGACTCACCCCCTGAATATTGTAAAAACTCGCAACCCTGTTTTGTAGTCACTGTAGTAAAGCACGCTGTGTACTGTGCAAAAGTATAACTGGATTATCTTGACGATTTGGAACAAAGCATGTGCATTTTGCTGACACAGATCATAAACAGATGAGCAGCACCTCCCCTCTGTTTGAAAGTGGTGTTGGAGCTTAGCTGCATTCCTAATATGGGCTGGAATTTCAAGATATTACACAGCCGGCGAGATGTTCAACGCAGCCGACCAACAGAGCGAATAATTGCCACCCTCTTGTGTATTTGATAAATACGTGCACACTTTGTATCCCCGCTCATTGATAAATGAGAGAGATTGATGATGTTGTGGGTAATCACGCATAAATCATTATCATTATCATTATCATATTTACCATCATTATTGCTACATATCTGACTACTATTAAGTTTATTGCGTAAAAAACGGATGTCGTTATAATTTTGATGTACATTTTGCCCACAACTGGTGTGTACAAATGTACAAAGGAGGCTTATTCAATCATGCCGTGAGCTGAGGTGTAGGCTATCTCTTTAACTGTGTAAAATCTTTGCGGTGTTTTGTCACGTACATCTAGTTGTGACTGGTTTGAACTGGTCTCGTGAGCATGCGCACTTGGTGTAAACAGGAAGAAACGACGTAAAGTAGGTTAAATCCACCCATAAAGAAGAGAAAATGCACGGACAGCCACGAGCGAGTGTTTGGTTTTTGTTTACATATTAGCCAAACTAAATGATGATTTGTACCACCTGATAGTAATTTATATCACAGCTTGTAAAACCGGTCGGGGTTTTTGTTTCGAAAAACTTGATAGATTCCTTGCGTTAGCTAACATTGGGCTCAGAGTGACGCGGTTTATTTCCACCAGGTTTGCCTGGCAGCATTCGCCTGCTGACCTACATTTGAAAATATTCCCTGGGTTCTTCGCAAAATTTCGTGACTTTTGTATCGAGCGAAACCTCGAAAAATGGTTCAAAAAGAAAATACGTTAGAGACTCCTCAAGTGGATGGTGAGCCGAGCCCCAGCCCAGTCTCCGGAGAGTCTTGTGCAGAGGCCCCTGGCCCGGTGGAAGAGACTGTGATCGGAGTCGAAACGACGGGCCTCAGAAAATTTATAAGCGGAGTCGTGGAAGGTAATGTTGGAGAAAGATTATGTATGTAGTTTGGTATCGTCACATATATAAATAAATGATAAATTTGTATCTTAAAATGCAAATATGCTGCTTAATAAAAAAAAAATTACCCTTTTAAAATTTCATAGGCTTACGTATATATACAACACGATCTAGTTAATCGCATCAGAAGCTAGGCGTCGAAATGCTGCAGTAATTCCGCTGTCTGACTGTACATAATGAACACAGTGCTACACTTCATGAATTTAAAAGGGACGTCTTTATTTGGGCACATTCCTGAGTAATTCAGAAGATCAGTATTAAGCACATTCAAGCACGTCTGCACCAAGGGGCAAATTGTCGAAGCGGCTAAGCAGCTCGCTGTGCATGCAGGAAACGCACATCAGGACTGCAGGGTGCGTGGAAACTGAATGTCATGTTTTCTAACGCAGGCTTTTATGGGCGGCCATGGACAATGGAACAGAGGAAAGAGCTGTTCAGGAGGTACTGTAGCTCATTTAAGACTGCATGTTGACAGCATTATATAGCAGGGTAACTCGGATTGTTTTAATGAGTCTGAAAAAATGATTTTCACAGGCAGCAGAAATGGGGACTGAATACATACCTTTATGCACCCAAAGATGACTGCAAACACAGAATGTTCTGGAGGGAGCTGTATTCAGTGGAGGAAGCAGGTGATTACCAAGAATGTCTTTGGGGAGAAGGGGAATGATTGTATGATACTTTTAAAGTGAGCCAATTGCATATTAATTATAAATGCACAATAATTTACACTTTTGTTTTTCTCCTAGAGCAACTCATGACGTTAATTGGTGCTGCTAATGAGCATGGGATAGAGTTCATCTATGCCATTTCCCCTGGATTAGATATTACCTTCTCCAACCAGAAAGAGGTTTCTGCACTCAAGAGGAAACTTGATCAGGTATTGCAGCATTTTTATGAAGAACACATTAAAATCCTTCTTGATGGATATCTACAGCAGTTTTCTGTATTTTACTATGTCATTTCTTCCCTTTCAGGTTTCACACTTTGGCTGCAAGTCCTTTGCCTTACTTTTTGATGATATTGACCACAACATGTGCCCTGCTGATAAAGAAGTGTTCAGTTCTTTTGCACACGCTCAGGTTTCTATCACCAATGAAATCTACCAATATCTTGGGGAGCCTGAAACCTTTCTCTTCTGTCCCACAGGTAACTTGTTTTCCTTGTTTTTGTACCTGCCTTATTTGCTCATTTTGTGTGTGTTTGCTCTACTTGCTCACTTATTTTTCTCACCGTCAAATTCAGAGTACTGTGGAACATTTTGCTACCCAAGTGTTCCTCAGTCCCCCTACCTCCACACAGTAGGAGAGAAGCTTCTGCCTGGCATTGATGTGCTATGGACAGGCAAGTCTAATAGCTTCCCTTGAAATTGCAAACCTATTCATACATGTCTATGTTGAAGACTTAAAAAGAATAATTATTTGGATATGTTGACTTTTCTGTAGGCCCCAAAGTGGTTTCCAAAGACATCACAGTGGAGTCTATTGAAGAGGTGTCAAAAATCCTGAGAAGAGCCCCAGTAATCTGGGACAATATTCATGCCAATGATTATGACCAGAAGAGACTTTTCTTGGGTCCCTACAAGGGCCGCTCCACAGAGCTCATCCCCAGACTGAAGGGAGTCCTCACCAATCCAAACTGCGAGTTTGAATCCAACTTTGTAGCAATCCACACTTTGGCTACCTGGTACAAGTCTAATATGAACGGTGTGCGCAAGGATGTGGTCATGAGTAAGCAACAGAGACTTATTTCTTTTGTTTGTTTGTTTAGTTATTCTGCAAATTTCAAAGCATACCACAGACAGAAAAGATCCAGCTTGAAATGAGTGGGTAAAATGCCTAATAACAGATACCACAAGACTCACCCTAGATGTGCTAGAGAGAATAAAATGTACTTCGTTAAGCAATAAGGAAGGAGGGGAAAAATGAAGATCAGTATCAAATAATTTTATCAAAACCCTTTATGCCTTTTGAGGCAAAGGGGTAATTTAACAAAAATAAAACACACAGGGTTTTGAAAATTTGGGTGGGGGTGTACTTATAGTTAGCTGGGGAAATGTAACACCTGATGTAAGGTTTATCAAAACTAGGAAAACATTTCTGAAGTCTGGTTTTAATATACTGTACATCTATTTAAGCTAAGTAATGCTTATACAAGCACACATGGAGTGAAAAGAATCCTGAGCATTGGATTTCTTAAACGCCTTTCATTAAGTTTAGGCCTCAGCTCCTCATATCAAAGTCTGAAGTCATGGGTTGGTACACAATCTTTAGTTACAAGGATTTTAAAGTTTCCAAAAGTGTCATTATCAGTGTAATACTTATTTTATGTTGATGCAGTATAATCTCTCATTATGAAGTTACTGTCATCTTGCACTGAAATCCAGATTATTAATGGATGTACTTCTCTGCTTTTTCTCTCCCCACCTTGCCCCTTTACCAGCTGATGGTGAGGACAGCACCGTTTCTATCCAGATTAAGTTGGAGAATGAAGGCAGTGATGAAGAACTTGAGACAGACATGCTCTATAGCCCACAACTTGCTCTAAAACTGGCTCTCACAGAATGGCTTGGGGAGTTTGGTGTGCCTCACCAATACAACAGTAAGTTTAATCTTCCTTTTTTTTTTTTTGTTAATAGAGTTTTTAGCAGCATCACCTGAAATGCCTAAAAACCATGCCGTATGCACTGACACTCTGTTCTCACAGGCCGGCAGGTGCCTCAGAGTGGTGCCAAAGGCACGGGCATAGATGTGTCATCCATGACCGCTCCCTCTCTTTGCTCCTCAACAACGGTCACAACTGTGTTCCAGCAGCCCATCATGTCTCCAGCAATGCCTCCTCTGTGCCTGGATCCAATCTCACTTCCTTTGGCAAAAAGACCTCAGGAGGAAGAGGAGGTGGAGTTTGCATTATGACACAGTTGTAGCACTTGTGTGACCTTAACGAGTACTTTTAGCAATCGAGTTTTCTGTTCATCCAGCTCATCACCCAATAAAAGAACCATTGGGTCATTGATTAAAGTATTTGTCCTCTCTTTATAGTCTCGTACAATCCAGACAGAGGATTATACCAGACTATCTACAGGTACTTTAACTTTTTACTGGGCATGTGCAGGTGGAGGTGGAAAAGAAGGATTCAGATGAGGAGCCCATGGAGATGGTGGTTGAGAAGCAAGATGAGGCAGAGCCAGAAGCCGAAGTCGACCCAGAAGAGAAGCATGCAGGTCCTATTTTAGCTGACAAGATGGCCGAGGACCTCAAACCTATGGATACAGACAAAGAGAGTCTGGCAGAGTCCAAATCCCCTGAGGAGTCAATTCAAGAGGACTCTGGTAGTGATATCGCCCCTATGCAGACAGATGATCAGCTCAAACAGGTGCTGCAAACATTAGTGAGTCATTTCTCCTTTATATCTGCATTTGAAGGCAAAAACCAAATTAAAATGCTTGCAAAGTCTCATTGCTGATTTGGGTCCACAGGAAGTGTTTGTACCAGGGCCCAACGAAAAGGCGCTGTTCACAGCAGAGCCTCTTACCCTGGAGGACCTGTGCTTGCTGGCAGAGCTCTTTTATCTGCCTTACGAACATGGACCCAAGGCCATGCAAATGTTAAAGGAGTTCAACTGGCTAAGAGCCAACAGCAGTGTCGTTAGTGTCAACTGCAAGAGGAGAGAATCTGAAAAGGTGGGTGATTTTACTGAAACTCGCACATGGCGTGTGTTCAGAGAAGGAGGTCCATTAGATGGCTAGTCTGTTATCAACTAACCACGCTGTTCATGGTGCAGAAAACAAAATGGTGGCTGTGTAGTACCCATACTGCCCATTGGGTGGTGTGGTTATGACAGCAAATGGTGTGCTTGCACTACAGTTTAGTGCTGTGCTTTTTGTGTAAACTATGGCTTCCCTTTCTATGCAGCTTGTTTTGCTTTTAGTTACATGTCACAGTGGAAAAGTACAGTTGTAAATAATTTCAACACTCATGGCCTATTGGGACACTTGTATATGATATGATGTCATAAGTGACGAGTGCTTTTTTTATTTTATTTTTTTCTTGTCTTCCTGCTACCACAACTCTGAAGTGGTTTGATGCTTGCCTTTTCCACCAGTATTTATCTTTTTCAAACACTGTGTTGAACACAGGTGACCGAATGGCAGTCACGGGCAGAAAAGTTTGAGGAGATGTGCTGCTCAGTCATCCAGATGTTCACACGGCTATCTAATACAGCTAACCGCACCATCCTGTATGACCTCTACCCTTACCTCTGGGACATCAAGAGCATCATTTCTATGGTCAAGTCTTTTGTCCAGTGGCTCGGTATGTATAAGGGGAACCACGGGGTCCTTATTCTTAGAGAGCAGTAGTTTAGCGTAGAGTCCATTCAAGTGTTGTAATCCTTTACCATTCTCAGGAACACAGTTGCATACAAATACTAAAGCACATCATTTAAAAAAAAAAAAATTATAATAATGAAAGAACAAACAGTGTAATGATGGATCATTTAGCTGCATGGTTTCCATTCTAGACCTGGACTATGTTATTTTAAGAATGATATGAGACAACAATCTGAATAACAGTAATATTTCTAATCTTCTGCATCAGTTAATGTAGGGTTAGTTTCTGGCAAATATCCCCAGCTGAAATTGGTAGCAGGTTATTTGATTAGTTTAGAAATGGGTTAGGTCAAATGCATCACATTTAAATGGATATAAATCTATTAATTGCTCTTTAATTTGTTGATTTTTTTTTTTCTTCTTTTTTCTAATCTGACTGAATGCTGCTTGCACTGCTGCTGTGCTCCCTTTTATTCCACAACAATTTGCTCCATGTTTGTCTAAACTGAGTATCTGTGGAGAAAATGTCCCAGCAGGGTTACTGCTGCTTGCTGTGTATCCAGTAACATCACTGCTGCGTTCCCACACAGACACTTGCTTCCATTTCTCCGTCTGTGGGGATGGGCACAGGGGAAATCCCAACCCCCCTCCCTTCCTCCATGCCCTAGCGCGCACGCGAGCTTGGAGAGCAAGTTGACTGACTCACTGTGGAAGGCCATTCTGGTGCATAAACAAGGAATCAGAAATATCTAAATTGTCCTTAATATGAATCACATGCATATATTACAAGAAGTCTGACACTTTTGCCTCACTGAGTAATCTCTACTATGAGGTTGTTGGATTTTTAAGCTACTGAATCATGTGCTCACTCTGTATCAGAGGAGAATGCATCACATTGTAAAAGAGGATATTCTTTCTTTCCCTCCCACTTTCATCTCTCTCTATCTTAAATTACTCTTTCAGGTGATGTCCTGTGATACAGCATGAGTGACATGGAGTCTTCTCATGACATCTCCATCTTTTCATGGAGTGTTTGTTTGTTAGTCTGAAGCACCAGCATGGCCTGTAGGTTACTCCCTGTAACCCAGTTTCATTCACAGGTTTCTGTCCTGTCCGGCTATATGGTAAAGCTGAGGTCTCTGGCCCACAGTACACAGCAGGCAGCATACCCACACTGGCAAATCCACATTAAAAGTCCACACTGCTGGCTTGATGCTTCAGTAAATGGTCTTAAACGCTCAAGCCTCACCAAAGAAGTTAAAGCCCCATAAATATAGTTACCTGCACGAAGTTCCCAAATATTGACTTCTGCTTTTGCTATTAGTATTCATTTCATCAGTCCCCATATTTTCCCCCCCAAGTGGAAGCTGTGCAGCCGGCACTTAGTCACAACCTCCCTGGTTATTGCACTGAGAACACTTACTAATAACTATTTTCTACTGTTTTCTCCCTTCACTATGTACAGATGGAAGAATCCACAGTACAAGTTTCTACTGCTATTGGATCGACAGTGGCCGATGTATGCACATGCAGGCGTTGTCTCTT